CCTCGTCAGAGGGAGCTGCTGGGGCACAAATGACACTCAGTCAGGCAGCGACTTGGTTTCCTCATTGGTTCGAAGGCGGTTCCATCCAACCCTGAGAAGGTGGAACCCAGGACTAGCGGGTCCCGGCAATGAATTCTCCGCAAGTTTAAAGAACAAAGCACATCAAATCGGATTTGCACACTTTTCAACACGTACTACTCGGTGCCTGTGAGGACACAGCCACATGGACACAGACCTCTCAGCAGGTGGGGCTCTCGGGTGGGAAACGCCACCTCCCAATGCAGGATCTGAGAAACAACACCAAGGGGCGGTGCTCTCAGGTGACAGACGCACCCTTTGCTGACCAGCTCCCTTGTGCGTCAGAGCGGCTCCATTGTCCAGCTGCAGCTCTTCTGCAGAGTCAGCCAGGGCAGGACCGCTCACCTATGCAGGCTTCAGGGCTGGGATCAGACCTGAATCTCCTCGAGCCATCGAGAGTTGACTCATGTTCCCTATTCATCAAAAATGGTTCCTAATTACTGCGAAATACTGATTAGAAGTAATGAATGCCTTAGAAATGTTCTCTTGAAATGAGTTTCTTAATAAAAATATGGACACTACTTGATCATCCAGTGGCCCATTATCCTCCAGAGAGATGGAGTGCCCGTGGTGTCTCTTTCATTCCTCTAAAGAATGAGGTAGAGTTAAAACTACATGGGTTTTGGAATCAGACTGCCATGGGTTCAAATCCCAGCTCTGATATTTGCTGTGTGGCTTTGGGCAAATTATTTAATTCACCCGGACTTTAGTTTCCTCATCCATAAAGTTGGTATGATACCTACCACACAGGTTGACATAATAGTAAAGGAAATAGCACAGGTAGAACCCTTGTCCCATACCTGGCACATTAGCCCCCTTCTTTTATGCCCCGCTGGGAAGCCACCAAACATGCTTTCACTGTGCACTAGGTGGTCATTAATCTATTTTTTTCTCCTTTATTCCTAACATTGGTGATTTAGAGATGGCACAAAGGGAGGTGTTCGTGAGAGGTGCCGAGTGCTTTGTGTCACAGGCTTCCAATCCTGGAAATGGATGTAAATCTTAACTCTCTCGGGGAAATGTGTGATCAGATGGTGTTGGTGGCAGGTAACATTCACTGAGCACTAACTGTGTGCTATAGGGACACACACTAGCTCATTTAATCCTCACAACCACACTTGGAGGTCGATATTATTATCAGACCTATTTTACAGGTGAAGAAATGGAGGCAGAACTTAAGTTCAAGATCACAGAGATGTAACTGGCAGACCCACGAGATCTGACTCCAGAGCCTGTGTATTTCACCTCTGGGCTCCATGAAAGCCCGCTCAATGGCCACACTTCTGCAGGGGTGACCTAGCCCCCAAGTTGGTCTTCATTCCAGCCACACCGTGTCACCCTTACATGAGTCTCAAAGACCCTATTGTTCCCAGAAACGGTCAGGAAGAGTGTGCCATGGCCTTGGAGGGTGAAGAGCTGCCTGTGGTGGGCCGCTCAGAGAAGGGACAATTGCAGGGTGTCTGGTAGGGGGCACTGTTGTTCCTTCAGCCCCCATTCTCTGAAACCTGTGTTCAGGGAAGGCAGGCTTGGAGCCAGGAGTAGGAGAGGATAGGGCTGAGTCCTCCAGATCGAGGGGGCACCACAGACACATGCCTTATGAGCAACAAGAGAGACAGGATGAGTGTTCGGACTTTATAGGTTGGTTCACCCGCATCTGTCACTCCTTCTTCTGGTTCCTGATTCCCCTTTGGAAAAGCCACCTCTCCCCATCTTTTAGTCTCTGGGGTCAGAGTGGACATGACCCAGGCCTGGTTCATCAGTATCTGCTTCTCCCTAGCCACTGCAATTGGTTCAAGGAGGAGCACATGAGAATAACTGTTCAAATGAAATTCAATCAAAGGGTTGGTCTGGTATGAACGGAAATGGGGGTGGGGAGAGCTCCCTTTCCTCTGGGATGGCTCAGCTGGGAGAAGGTAAGCCTGGACTTCTGCCTGCAAATGAAGGCAGCACCAAAGAACATTAGACTTGAGAGATGCAGAGAAACTGAGTCCAGCCAACATTTTGTGAGCACCTGGATACAGCCATACCTGAGGTCAGTGTGCCTCGGAACTCTTCAGTTACATGAGCCGTTAATTCTTTTTTGTTTTTCATTTGTTTGTTTGTTCAAGCCAATCTGAATGGAGATTCTTCATTTAACACCAAGAATTCTGATTCAAACGAAGACCAAGAAAATCATGGATCAGTCTGGTTTGGAGTAGCCAGGCTCGTTCACATACCATCTCTATACAAGTGTGTGGTATTAATCATGGAAGTCATCCCCAGAGCTCAATTTCTCAAGCTCTGCAATTCCCTGGGGGTGGAGGGGAGGTAAGAGAGCGAATAAAATTATTCTTTAATTCTTATGTTATTGAAAGTCGGCTAGGCGCACTGCAGATGCAATCTCTTGCTCAAATTGCATAGAATTTGATTGGCTGGTGAAAGAAATCTTTCTGGAGGTTGGTCTGGGTGCTTCTCTTCCCACAAAAGTAAAATTAATGGCCTCTGATGAACCTTATGAATTTCAATTATCATGAAAGGAGAAAGACTCTCACAGTAAGAACACTAGCTCTTCTGCCCCCCAAGCGTGCCCCCCAAAAGCCTACTCATTAAAAAGGGGGTGAAATGTTTCCCCGACTCAGGATTGTAGTTTCAGTGGAGGGATGCTGGTAAGAGGTGGCACCGGAGGGTTACCGTTTCTTCTGGCAGCAGGAGGGTGGGTGGCGAGAGTGTTCTCACCCGGATGGCCAGACGGGCTGTGGGGCAGTCAAGGCTCTTGGCTGGAAGCCGTAGTGACCCACGTGGGTGACGTGAGCACAGTGGGCTTTCCCTGCGGGATCTTGAGCCCCACAGACTAGAAGAGACGCAGAGAACCAGGCGGAAACCACAGGACTCCGTGGGGCTAAGAAAGAGCATCTCACACCAGAACGGGCTGATCAGGACGCTGCCTGGGAAAGTGACCTCCTCCGATCCCTCTTCTTTCCGTCACTTGCTCAAAACAGAGTTCAGGAAAGAGCGTGTAGGGGCCAGACTTAGACCAGCGCCCACCCCTCAGGAAAGCCGGGTGGAGAGGGAGGACCTCGACCCTTAGCTTTCGTGATGGGACGTGTCACCAGGGGCTACCCCGCACCCCTCCTACCTAGGGGAGGAGTGATTCCCAAAAGGACGACTGGAGCTTCAGCGAGGGGATTCAATTGTGGGCAGCCAGAAATGATCCCTGTCCCCCACGTGCCACTTGGGACAGGACCACGGTGAGCCTTGGGTGCCGGGCTCATGTGAGCTTCCCCTATAGGGGCACCGGGGGGCAGGGGACACATGGTGGACCTTTATGGAAAAGGCAGCTCTCGGGACTCTTGACTCCAACTGAAATGCTACAAGGCTGTACTCGGGGGTTATTTCTTTTTACAATGAATATTTATCACTTTCATAGTAAAAACGATTTTTCATTTAGAAAATTAAAAAGCTACCATCTCCGCAAGCAGCACACCAGAAGTTGGGGCTAATGGGGCCAAATGCTTCCAATCAAGTCATCCGCACGCTTTGGGTCCCCACGGCGGCTCCAGCGCTACGGTCGGTGCCCAGGGGTGCGGGGGTGGGAACAGTGAGTTTCGTGGAAACACCTGCCTCCAGGGGCCCAGCTGGGCAGACCGTCCCTTAAATTGCTCACAGTGAGATTGATGAGGAACAAATTACTTGCCGCATTTGCCCTGTGTAGACCCAGTCAACACACACACACGTCTCGCTGCCGACATTTCTTGGGAAACAGTGTCGTCGTCAGATTTCCACTTGCTCCGCGGTGGCCCATCTCCTTAAGGCCCCTCACGTGCCGAGCAGCACGTTTTCAGGGCCTCTCCCTGCATTCCCTCAAGAGCAGCACTGAGGCCAGCAGATGTGATCACGTGGTTTGTTCCCTGCACACCTCCAGGGGGCCCCGTTCCCACTGTGGTGGGCGTGAGTGGTGTCCCAGGGTGTGCAGTGCCAGCCTCTGCCGGCCCTCCTCTCCTCAAGTCCTCAGGGAGACCCTCACGCACCCTAGAATGTCAGTCTGGAAGGTGCCTCGGAGACATCTCATCCGGGGCTTTCATCTCCTTTCCTTCCAGGAGAACTTTGCTCAAAGTGGCCGGGTCGTGCTCCTTGCCCTTAGGTTTTTCAAGACATCACCCAGCAGAACAAATTTCAACATCACGGGTCCAGTCCACTGTCCTCGGTGAAAGAATGAGGAACTTGAACCTGGAGAGGAGGCACGTCTGCCAAGGACGCTCTCCAGGCAGAGCCGGGGCGAACGACCGAGCAGCATTTTATAATTTGCAAATGTCTCTCCACCCCGTGTTGTTACACTTGACCTTCATGATCGTTGGTCACTGTCAGATGACACTGCATTTCACACATCAAAGACAAAACTGACCAGATAACGCATCATTGTTTTATGTGCCACTAAGAAAGAAAACATTGACAACTGAATTACAATGCAACAGTGAGACTCCATCGATTATGTGACACAACCAGATTCAAGAGATATTAACATGTGAAAAGGGTGCACCTTAGAATCAGTGCAGTTCAGTGTTCTTCCCACTTTACAGATTTTATTTTCTAGATTCAGGGGTCTGGTTCACCTTGATTCCAAGGTCTGGTCTGTTCACACACGCACTGCTGGCCAGAGGACAAGCCTGGGATGTAACCTCAGCCCCCTGGTGACCGTCTCCAGTCTGGTCCAGGATGGGGACACGCACTGCCTCCATCTCCCTTCGAGGATGGATCTGCCGCCCAGTGTGGGACCTTTGGTCAGCAGACAGGCCCCCACTTCTTTAACATGACTCCCCAAGCTCATTAAAGAACAGACGAATGAGCTGTATAAATAACAACAATTTAACACTGTGCGTCCTCATTCCTACTGTGAAGCAGTGGCCTGGACTCAATGGGAGAACTGAGATGCGCTGAAGTGAGTTGTTTGAAAAATTCCGCAGTCTGGCAGGGAAGTGAAACCACAGGTGGTAGCAGGCCTGGGACCTGAACACCTGCCCTTGGCTCAAGGAATTTCAATGATGCTTCGACATTTCCACTGAATGTTGGCATGAACCCTGAGGTTCTTCTACAAGAAGGATGGATAACCTATGGCAGAATCTATAGATACAAGCTGCACCTGGATGACTATGATGCTTCCAATAAAAGTCTTTTTAACCTGAATTATCTGGGACATCTACCCTGCTTTCCCTTTCTCAGTCTATGCTGCTTTCGTGAATCCTTGGACATAAATCCACATTTGCATCTAAGCCTTCTGTTTGTTTTCTTCTGCCCGTTGGAAGGAAGACAAAGTAGGGGACATTTAATAACCTGCTTCCACCCTCTGGTTCCATGATATTAATCTGACCACACAGGATCCTTAGTGCTTCACCATCACAAAGACTCAGTTTCATACATGAATGAATCGATGTCAAATGGGAGGGGGGGCACGTGTTTTCCTGACACCTCTTAAATGCGTTCTTATTTCATATTGATACAGATCAGGGGCCGTGGGTCATGCTGACAAGCTCGTGAACTACCTGCTACTCACCAGCAATACAAGGTCCTGTTTTCCTGATGGAGCAGTTGATGTTGATTGCAGAGGATGTCCGTGAACTTGAAATTGTTTTGATTGTTGTTTACCCGCCAGGGACCTTGAGCTTGAGACCTTCCTACTCCACACAGAGGTGCAGATGACACACATGGTGGGAGTACTGTCGAGAGACATAAATTAGAGCAACTAGAGTGAGATGGAGAAAGAGAAGGATGCGTTACTAATTGGGGCATCATTACAGGGCTTTCGAGAAGCTAAGAGAGATACAGCATCAACATCGAAACCCCAGAAGTGGCAGGCAGAAGTGACCACATCTGGAGCCAGAGGCCATGAACATAACTGACAGGCTTTATGACCCTGGGGGGGGGGCAAAATCACTCGGACGTGACAATATGCTAAAGTGGGCGTTTCATTGTTTTCCAGAAGCTGCAGATGATGACTTCAGGGATCCTTTAAGGAGGATAACTGATTACCCGACAAAGAACTTGTAGCATTTCCTCTTTACAGTGGAAGAGAGAAAAAGTAACAACTCAGCTCTTTCAAGCCGAAAAGGAGCATTTTTCAGAAAAAACATTGCAAAATTTATAACAATGGGAGCCGGAGGAAACACAAATACATCTCGCCTCTTGACAAATGAGATTTAATTAAGAGACTCTTCATGCTAGAAAACAAAGTCTTGCCTGTGCCACGAAGGGAAAAGCGACAGGCTGAGGGGGAGGGTGTCGCTGACAAACAGCCCTGCCTCGGCCCGTTAATTATTCATAAACGTCCTTGTGATGGAATTCCACTGCTTCACCTATTTTTAGTTAATTCTCTATTTTTTTACTCCAAATGCTACTTGTGCTAATTGATGAAATAGTTAATCCAGACCACAATAAGCACAGATGAAACAGAGAGGCTTGGGTTTATCCGCTCGAGGACTTTTAATAATTTTACACTTTGCAGGGATGTAAAGCATGGGCACTGAAGGTATTTGCACAGAGATGCACCTGTGTCTCCCCGCTCCCCACGCAGACCTGCAGTTTACTGGGATCTAAATCTCCCGGCCAGCTGGTGCTCGCCAGCCTACACTCCCAAAGCTGGGGGCTTCCATTCTGACCCTTTCGCCGGTCCCCCCAACCATGGTCCCTGTGATTCCAGGTGGTCCTGAGACTTCTCCTCAAAGCCCTGCGTCAGGCTCAGTCCCAGAACAAGATACATTGCTGACTGACTCTGAGATCCCTGCTGGCCACGCCAGAGCTCCTTTCTGCATATTTCCTGACCATCTCTCTGATTTTCTCCTGAGTTGTGACCAAGGTCCTAAAACTGAGGTCTGCCATCCCACCCAGGTTCTGAGCTATGAAGCAGGCTGTGGTGGGGAATGAGGTGGAAAAGAACAGCCCTAGACAAGGAGAACTTCCCGTTACAACTGGAAACATCCGAAGAGGCAAATATGACCCCAGTCACACCCCTGCTTCAAACCTTCCAGAAGCTGCCCACAGCCCTTAGGATGGAGCCCAAACTCCCAGGCCCCTGCCCCTCACCAGTCCCACCTCCCACCACTCACCTCTGTGTTCACTGGGTCCCGGCCTTGGACATACCAGGCTCCCAGCACCTCGGGGCCTTTGCACATGCTGTTCCCTCCTCCTGGAATGTTTCCCCACCCCCACCCCAATTCCTCACCTAGTTACCTGCAGCTCACCTGTCATGTCTCAGATGAAATGTCACCTCCTTGAGGGATTCTTTTGTGTCTGTCATTATCCCCGCATCCTGGCCCAGGGACCAGGTCAGTTCCCCCGAAGCTCCTCTCATGACACCACAATGTGTTTCTTTCCCCGCAAAGACCACATGTAATGACATGAGGTCTTTATTATCTGAGGACAATTGAAACAGATAAAAAGCCATTTGAGACAAATCCAATTAAATTGGGTAGCAAAGCTTCACAGCAAATATTTTGTGATTTAACAAACAGGTACCTGGGACTTACTTTCGGCATGTGCTGTTCTCAGTACCCTACACATATTAAATTGCTCAGTCCTCCGTACCATGGATACTGTTACTATTACCTCCATTTTACAGATAAGAGCACTTAGGCACAAGAAGGTTGCCCAGCTAGTAACTGGCACTGTCAGAGTTCCTGCTCTCAACCACCTCTTCCAAACTAAAGGCTTCTCCTAGAATAAATGAAACTAAATTCTGCTCCTCAACGTCTGTCTGCTAAGCAACCCACGGCCTTGTTCCAGGACATATATTCAGTCCGTACACGGATGTGCCTTGAGGGCTCACTATGCATCAGGAGCTGTCCCGGGTGCTGAAATGATTTACCTCAGGAGCAATCAGACGCTAAGCTGTTCAAAGATCTCAGACCTATGACTCTAGTTGAATTCACCTATCAATCGAGAAAAGGCGGTGCTAGTTTTTAATAAATAGGCCTGTCCTCTGAGGGCCAAGCACACACAAAAAACGGACGAGAGTGAAGAGTCAGTACCTCACTCCAGTTCAAGCAACAGATCCCAACCCATGCCGTGTCGTCACCGTGGCAGAGAAGCAGGTGGGGGTGGGGCTCCTCTGGTCACCTGCCCCCCAAGCTGTCGGTGGCAGTGCGCCCTAAGTGTCACGTTCCCAGGGAGCACCATGTAACCGCACCTGAGCCAGCAGGGAGACTGACCACACACCCCACCAGCTCCCTGGACTGTTCACCCCACCCCAAAAGCCAAACCTCTTCTGGACCCCAGTCTAGCCAGTGGTCAGTCACTCCACCCAGTCCAGGACTATGATGGGGGGAGGGGAGGACCGGAGCCACTCAAGACGACATAACCTCAGAAAGGAGCTTCAAAAACACAGTCGGCGGACTTCCCTCGTGGTACAGTCGTTACAAATCCGTCTGCCAATGCAGGGGACACAGGTTCGAGCCCTGGTCCGGGAAGATCCCACATGCCACGGAGCAACTAAGCCCGTGAGCCACAACTACTGAGCCTGCACTCTAGAGCCTGTGAGCCACAACTATTGAGCCCACGTGCCACAACTACTAAGCCTGCGTGCCTAGAGCCCGTGCTCGGCAACAAGAGAAGCCACCGCAATGAGAAGCTCACGCACCGCAAGGAAGAGTAGCCCCCGCTCGCTGCAACTAGAGAAAGCCCGTGCTCAGCAACGAAGAACCAGAGCAGCCAAGATTAAATAAATAAATTTATTTAAAAAAACACACACAGTCGGACCCACCGCCTTGTGAAGCTTCAATAGCCCGCAAACCGGCTCTGCCTGCTCAGTCTGCTTTCACACACGGCGTCCGTCTCCTCCCCGTACTGTTGTCGCCTGGATCTCAAGAGACACCAGCCACCAGGAGGTGTGGACAGAGGGGTCAGATCTGCCACATCGGACGATTTGATTAAGATCCTCCTTGTTCTACTTTCCACAGATTTTTTCATGTCACACCTGACATGTCATATGCCCTGAATGAATATTTTCCTGACGGAATGACAGAAACTTTGGTTTGCAAAGGTGCTGCTGGATTTTGACCTTGGAGTGAGAATCACCTCACATGCTTTCAATAATCAAGAGATCTTTCGTTTTAATTCACTCATCAAAGATATGTTTTCTTTCTGAGATGTTGATTTGGTCCCTCTCTGTTTCTTTGTCCATGTGGGAAGCAGACAGCAAATTGCGTGAATGTGAAGTCGATAGCAGAGCTGCCATGATTGGCTAATTTGTTTCTTTCTCTCCCAGAGCGCAATCAGGGAGTGTCTTCACGGGAGGCTGGTTAGGGGAGCGTGTCCTTTCCTTCTGCAGCTGCAGGTGGCCTGGAGCGGGGGCGGGGCCGGGGGAAAGGCGGAGCATATCCCCACCGTTCACCCCAAATAGAAACATCCTAATTCTCACACGCCGGCCACTACATTGTAATACAGTAGAAAGCAGAAACTGCGTGAGTCCTAACAGCTTAGGAGCTTTTCAAATGAAGGAGGAAGCCCCTTAGTTTCTGCTCATGGAGCTTTGAGTCCCATGCAGCACTGGGCAGGGGTCCGGAAGCCACCCAAACCAGACCCATCGCCCATCCATGGGCTCACCCCGGCAGGCCACGTCCCCACTGGCTTCCTTTCCTGCTGTGAAGCGAAGGGGAGGAGCTACCTGATCACAAACGGTGTATCAAGCCCAGGAGACGAGACCGGCTTTCCCAGACTCACCCTTGGGGGCCAAGGTTCAGCCTAGGTGAGAGGTCCGGGTGCCTCCACTGATGTTCCAGCCCAAAGGACTCAACCCTTCCTGCTACAAAGATTTCTTTGAAAAACAGATAAACTGCAGTCGGAATTTAAAAATCTCTGTGTTCAGGTTCGCTTTTGATCCTTCCTCCTTATGACCAGTTGGTTTAATTACACTCCTTCACTGGCACCTTTATCTGAGATGATGGGTTTTTACTAGGAAACAGGCTTCTGACTTCTCTACGTCTTGATTCTCTGGTCTTTTAAAGGTTGTCATTGGAGTTACATAAATAATGTAGGAGGAATGAACTAACAGGAGAGGCTGCTCAGACGTTGGATTAACAAACTCCCGCCTTTAGTGCTTCACTCCCTCCCTCTTTTCCTCATTAGCTCTTTCTCTTGAATAAGAGAGAGAATTGTTCTTCAAATCTGTCTAGATGTTATCCTTGGGAGGTTAAAAAAAAAAACTGGCCAGTTCCTCATGTCGTAGCGTCAGCCTGAGCCTGGGACACGGGGGCTGCAGTCCAGCCGCCCACCGTCCTGACCACAATTCCAACCGTTCTGAATTTTTTCTTTTTGGTATGTTTTATTTTCTTTCTCCCAACTTATTTTGTTTTAATGTCAAACCCATAGAAAAGTTTAGAGTAATACAGTGAATATTCACATAATCTTCACCTAGATTCACCAGCTGGCAATACCAGGCCACGTGTGGGTCATCTCTCTCCGTGGGCATTATAGTATGTGTATGCGTGTGTGTGTGTGTGTGTGTGTGTGTGTGTGTGTGTGTGTGTGTGTGCAGTTTTCCTTTTCTGGCTAAATGATTTGAGACAATGGTGCAGAGATCATATTTCATTTCTAAACACTGCAGTGTGTATCTCCTACGGAAAGAGACATTTTCTTACATGATATCAATACCATTTTCACACTCAAGACAGTTAATGTTGACACAGTAATATAATCTGACAGTCCAAATTTAGTGGGTTTTTTTTCATTTCGGATCACGCACTGCATTTGGTTGTCACGATTCTTTCATTCTCTTTAATGTGGAACAGTGTGCCATCATTTGGTCTCGTATAATGTTGACTTTTTTGAAGATTCCAGACAGTCGCTTTGTACCATGAATGCAGGAAGTGCTCAGAGATGATGGGAACAGGTCAGAAGCTATGACAAAAGGCTTCCCCTGGACAATGTAAAACTATTTGAGCATAAAAAAATGTATGGAAATGGATAGGAACACACTGAATATTTTTCTAAAAATCTATGAGTTCACAGTGATTGAGGCCAGGGACAATTCTTTCTGAATAATGCCAGCTGATATGCGTAAGGAATGATAGAATTAGAAAAACGTAATAATTGACTCAGGTGCAGACCATCAGTGGGCACCAAAAACATTGGGGGAAACCATTTTGGGGAACACAAGATCCCCAAGTATCACCCTGTATGTTACTTAGCGATTACAAAGGGGAAAAGGATCCTTTACAACAGAGACATCTGGTGAACACCACCTTAACCAAGGACTCAAACCTGACATCCCAATGACAGATGAGCGGACATTATGAGGCTCCCTCCCTGAGATGAGCTGGGCACAGCCTCCCTCTGCAGAAATCCCGGCCTTCATCTATCGGGAAACAGTCACACTCACCCATTCTGTGGGACGTCCTACAGGCCAGTGGGCCGGCTCCTGTCTGACCTCGCCTGGGCAGTCAACAGACACTCCCTGCTTTGAGCTCTGCCTCGTGCCAGGCCCTGCGCTGGTGCTGGAGATGCAGAGATGGAACCTTGTCCTTCAAGGATGGAGACGATGCTCAGGAGTCCGTGTCCGCAGGGCCTCAGGCATTTGGATGACCTTGAAATGATTTCTAGATGACTGCAACTTCTCCGCCAAAAGGAAAAAGGAAAAATACATATAGTTGTTGTTTTCTTCTCCGGATCAAACCAGACGGGCTGGTTTCAGAATCATCTGTCACTAGAGAGGCGCACTCAGGAGCAATCTGTGGGCCCTTGGTCACCCCATCAAGCGAGACGGCTGGGGTAGCTGGGACCGTTACCATCACGGCTGCCATCAGGATCTGTGGCTGTGACATCATCACAGGGCATCAGCCAGGCACCCGCTGGAACAGGAGCTTCTATCAGCGGGTCCGAGCCCCTCTGCAGCGCCGCTGCTGTTGACAAGCAGACTTGGCCACAGATGGCAGCAGCCTCAGAACCAGCCGCGAAAGCAACGGGAGGAAGGTCTGCAAAATGACAGAGTCAGATCATCCGGTCTAGAACCGGGGATGTTTAAGGGTTCTCAATCTCCTGCGCTACAGCCTAAGAGGCAGATCTCTGAGCCTTCACTCATTCCTTCTGCACATATGTCAGGAGGACCAACTATGTGCCAGGCACAGCCGAGGTCCCTGGAGATGCAGCAGAGAACAGATAAAGACCCAGGCTTCGGGAGCTCGTGATCTACAGAGGGAGACAGTCAACAACGAGTGACAGCCCAGGACAGTGAGCACAGCACACAGCGGTGCTGCATACCCCCTCGTTCCTCACCATTTTTGCCCCGTGGTGGCTTCTTACTGCCCCTGAGCCTCTCCCTCTGAGGCCTCCAGCTGCAGGGGCCCGCGTGGCTGGGAGCTGACATCCTGGGAAGCAGCCTCCTGTGAACGCAGAAGGCAGCTGGTGCAGCATTCCCCGGCTGAGCCACCCTCAGCGCATCCCCTCTGGGGCCTGTTCCAATCCGTCTACCAGGGCAGCCAGTAGGACTGAGCCTGGCGTCCCATGGTGGTCACCTGCTCAGGACCCCAGCAGGGTCAGTGTGATAACCCTCCTTCCGTCTCCCTTCCCCGGTCTCCTGCCAGAGCTCCCTGGGATCGCCTCCTGATACTGCTGATGACACCCAGTCTCAGGGTCAGCTTCTGGAAGAATCCAGCTTTAAGTCATATGGAAAGCATAAAGCAGTCAGGAGGCAGTGAGTGTCCTGTGAAAAATGGAGCTGAGAGGGGGCAGAGGTGGTCCTGGAGGGAGGGGCTGTGGTTGTATAGAGAGCAGGTGGAAGGCGACATTGGAGCAAGGCAGGTGGGCATCTGGGGGACGAGCGGGGAGTGCAGAGCAAATGTGGACCCTGCGGCTCCTCCTGGGAAGAGCAGGAAGCCTGTGCAACAGGAGCAGAGTGAGCATGGAAGACAAGTAGGAGAGAGACTGGGACGGAGGGAGCCAGAGTGAGGCGGGCCTCGTCCAGCGTGGAAAGGGCTTCGGCACGGAGTGGGGTGGGGAGATGGCAGGCCCCGTGCAGGGGACTGGGGTGACCTGATGTCCCTCTAACAGGTTCGCTCTGATCAAAGGTGGAGAACAGACTGCAGGGGGCGAGGGCCAAGCAGGGACACCAGGGAGGACTCTGTTACGACAATCCCCAAAGAGATGACGGTCAGGGATCTAGGGGGCAGGGAGCAGGGCAGGTGGGCCAAGTGGACGGATTCTGATCCATGTGGACGGCAGGGTGGACGTGTGAGCAGAGAAAGCATCTGGCGGGCGTGAGAGGGGGAGAGGAGCTGAAGTGAGCCGGAGCGCCCCCAGGAAGGGGAAAGCCGTCACCCCGGAGCTGGGGACCGCATGGGGTATGAGGGAACCCGACGACTGTTAGAGACGGGGAGGGATCCAGAGCAAAGCTAGCATGTGAACGTGGCCAAGAGAGGAGAGGTCTGGTCCCACGTAGAAATAACTATTTTAAACTAAGAATACCAGGCTATTCCTGATGTCTCAGACAAATCAGATCACATCACAACCCCCTGAATATGACAAATTATATTTTTGTCAACCTGGAACCCCTCCAACTGAGGAAACATGTGAGCTTCCCAATGAAAACGGAGAACCAGATGGAGATGGTGTAATTAGAGCTGAACCACAGTCATTCCCCACTACATCCTCACACCAACCCATTTCTCAGTGCTCTTGCCTTGGGTGGGAGTCCCCAGTGGCAGAGACTGGAATTTTCAGTTCAAGGTATTTTGGGGGATCAACACTTGTGGAGGGAAGCGGGGGAAGAAGGCCAGGCAGGGGAAAGTTTGATGCAGGCCTGACAAAACCTCAGCAAAACCTGTGGGGCGCTCTGGAGCTTGTAAGGGTCAGCCCACATTGGGGCCAAATGTCCAGGCTTTATACCCCTGTCTCGTTCAGTCACCAGGAGTGGGCTCTCCAGGAGGGGCATGACCATGGACAAGAAAGCTCCCTGAAGCTAAGACAGAACCCGAAGGAGGCATCTTATGCCTTGTATAAAAATTTTGCAAGAAAATCTAGGATATTGCAACTACGATTTAGAGAGGCTGGTGGGACGTTACAAACCAAGATGGATAATCCTGAAAGCACAAAAGGGGGAAAGAGACATATTGAAAATATTAAAATTTGGAACGTTTGTACATAAAATGATTACATTAAAAAAGTATATATGTCTGTAAAAGTATTAGTAAGTCAATAATAGATGAAGAATTCATTTAATACAGTTCAATACACAAAGAACTCTTACAAATTGATGAGAAAAAGAGGCAATGGCTGCAAATAGGCAATCCATGGGAGAATGCATCTCTTCCGACCTCACAAGTTGTTGGAAATACAACCCATAGAAGTAAAAGTACTTATATCTTGTACCAATACACACAAGGATGTCACGACAGTGTTGTTTTTAGTGGCCTGGAACCGGAAAAAGAATTAATTCCCTTTACTAATGGAGGGGCTAAGTCCTTTACGAGTATATCTGTGGAATATTGCACAGCGCCGTAAAGAATTACTTTAATTTAGAGCTATAGACGGTGACTTGAAGTATTTAATTTTAAAGTAATGAATTACTTTAATTTAGAGCTATAGACGGTGACTTGAAGTATTTCTACCAGGAATTGAGTGATAAAATCAAGATACAGGGCTTCCCTGGTGGCGCAGTGGTTGCAAGTCCACCTGCGGTTGCAGGGGACACAGGTTCGTGCCCCGGTCCGGGAGGTTCCCACGTGCCGCGGAGCGGCTGGGCCCCTGAGTCATGGCCACTGAGCCCGTGCGTCCGGAGCCTGTGCTCCGCAACGGGAGAGGCCACAACAGTGAGAGGCCCGCGTACCGCAAAAAAAAAAAAAAAAAAAAAAAAAATCAAGATACAGAAACAGGTTAGTTATGGGTTTATCAATTCTGTGATCTTTTTAAAGAACTAACTTTTAGCTTTGTTAATTTTATCTATTGACTTCTGTTTTCCATTTCATTTGCTTTAGTTCCTTATCTTTTCTTAATTCAACTTATCTGGTGTTTGCTTTCATCTTTTTTTCCTAGTGTCTTAAGGTGGAATCTTAGGTCATTGAATTTTTATCTTTCTTCTTTTTTAACATAAGCATTTAAAGCTATAAATTCTCCTCTTTGCACTGTTTTGACTGCATCTCTCAAATTTTGATGTTGTATTTTCATTATCATTCAGCAAAATTTCTTTTGAAAAAATACTGAGTCTATTTAGAATCTTTTAAAAAGCAAATAATAATTCAGTTGATACACAAATGTGTCCAAAATGATGAAGGAAAAACAAAAGTTACTGAGGTTTGGGACATAATATTGTAGCATTAATTTGAAGAAAAAAAAAACAACTTTGTTTCAAAATTTGTTAAGGAGGTTGAAAACCAAGTAATCTCCATCTGTCAGGAGTAAAACTGAAAGCTAGTTGAGAATCTCAGTTGAGATAGTAGGATTTTGTTTTCTTGTTTTTACTCTGATTTGGCTACCCGTCTGCTTGCAGTCACTAACTGTCCCTTGTCATCTGTACAACCCTTCTTCCTTTAGTAACAGAACCCCTGTGGTTCAGGAGGCACATTTATCAGCACAGAATTAGGACTACAGTTTCAAGCCTCCCTTGCAGTCATTTGTGGCCAGGTAAGTACTGGCCAGTGGAATGTGAGGAGTACAGGTAAGGAGTACCCCTGCCAGGCTGTGCCGATGAAGGGAAGCGTGTGCCCGATTCCTCTCCTTTTCTCTCTTCTCAGAGCTGAAATGCAGACAACTGTGGGGCATCTGGCCCAAGTGGATCAAGCCAGTGGTTTTGGCATAGTGGAGCAAAAAGATAGAGGAAGTCTGGGCCCCTGACAGTTTCACGGGCCAGAACTGCCACACCAGCTCATGTTCACGAGTGAGAAATAAACGCCTATCTTGTATAAACCAAGATCTCTATCACAGCAGCCAAAACTAACTCCTAATTCAGAGCTCACAGACACTGGATAAAGACCTTAACAGACATTCTGATTGGGGCTCTTGAGATATTTCCCATACAAACCAAACCTAGAGGAGAATAAAGGAATCAGGTTTAGAGCCTTTAAACATAACCCATGGCAGAAATAGAAGGAGCTGATTTTGTGGGTGGAAAAATTGAGTCTGAGACGGATGAAATGAATCATTCACCAAAGTTAAGAAGCAAATTTTGCTACTTAAAATGTAAAGGTTTAACAGTGTACCCCAGATGGCAAGTAACAGACCTGAGACCACATCCAGCCAGGAGATGTGCTGTGACCAGCCCTCAACTCGCTGGTGTGTGCAATTGGTTTTTTTTTTTTTTTTTTTTTTTTTTTTTGCGGTATGTGGGCCTCTCACTGCTGTGGTGTCTCCCGTTGCGGAGCACAGGCTCCGGACGCGCAGGCTCAGCGGCCATGGCTCACGGGCCCAGCCGCTCCGCGGCATGTGGGATCTTCCCGGACCGGGGCAAGAACCCGCGTCCCCTGCATCGGCAGGCGGACTCCCAACCACTGCGCCACCAGGGAAGCCCTGCAATTGGTTTTTAACACTAAAAATGAGAAGATTCCATAATGTATGTTTCAATATATCAGATCATCACGCTGTGCACTTTAAATATCTTACATTATTAGCTGTCAATTGTACCTCAATAAAGCTGGAAAAAAATAGAGAAGGTTTCACATAAAAATCTAGATTTCCAACTTCCTCTGAAAAATCAAAGCCATGCAGGTTGGATGTATCTTCCATCAGGCAACTCATGACCTAAGCAAGTCTCGGCTGCCCTCACTGGGTGGGTGTGAGGCTGAACACCTTCTTAACACCCTCTGTTGGCCCTGACGGTCATTACTATTCATCACCTCTCTGACTGCTGGGCTTTTTTTGTAAACAAACCTCTTTACCCTTCTCTCTGCTAAAACCAACAGAACAAAAGATGAATCAAGAGAGCCAAGTTTTTCAAGAAAAATGAGAGCATTTATTTACTATGCAAACAGAATACAGCTGTGTGGAAAAAACACACTCAGCCAGCTTTCCTCACATACACCTCCTCTCTAGGAGGCGCCCTCTGTAGACATGTGAGTTTTGATCCCTTTTGCACAACCTCTGGGTACAACCTCCTCTCTCCTTTCACAGTTCCTCTAACCAGAGCAAGGTTCCAGGGCCCCTTCATTCAGGGGAACCTGCTCATTTTTCCAGATGATGTCATCGCGTCTGGAGCCAAGTCTCTATTTGGAGGTGTTTTCTTTGACTTTGTTGCTTTTTCCTTCTTGGACCCGGGCAGCAACTCAAGCCTGCCCGC